ACAGCAAGAGGTGGCAGGCGAAATGGTGGACGTTGTCACTTTGGACTGAAAAGAGAGCCGAGGTTTCAGAGGTTTACGGGCTTGTTTTGGCAAGTTTTAGTGAGGTTCCAAAGCAAACAGCGGAAAAACGCGTTTTTTTTCTCGCTGGCGGCTTCGCGCGCGCCGCTAATTTCTTTTTACTTAAAAATTACTTACCGCGCGAAACGCCGCGCCCGGCAAAATTTCCTTTTCCACCCTCATCCACCCTGGAAGTTGAATCTTTCGCTTCTTGCTGGTTGTGTCTGGGTGGAGCCCACCCCTGGCGTTTTTTTTGCCCTTATGCAGTGTGGGCCAGCCTCCGAGCGACGAGTGCATTCTGAATTGCTTTCTATTTCTTGATTGATTGGTTCTCTCTGACACAGAAATGACTGAATTTCATCGAACTTTAGGCATGTCGTCAAGTCCATTTGCAAGCGATTTATGACACAAAGAACGAAAAAGGAAATGTTTTTCCCACTTTCTGTTCCTATGGGTTCGGAGGGCCAACGAAGCAATGGTTTCCATGTGCAGCTTAGTGTTGTTTCCATCTTGTTGACAAGTAATTGGCCTGGTGCAAGTTGGCACCTGGCTCGGTCTGGATCTTGCTTGCCGGCGTCGAATGTGAGTTCCGGGCGGGCCATATGACAAATGTGATTTCAAACCGGCGGGATCAAGGTTCCGTGAAGACCGCATGCCCCCACGGGTCATGCCGCGACAGTCGGCCAGGATAAACACAAGACTGAAGCCTCACTTTCTAGTTGCCTTTAGCAGCTATGCACTGTGATTGTCACAGCCATCGACTCTCGCTGCAGTCAGATGCGCAACCCGGGTTCCACATGTTTCTGCATGCAGGTGTAGATAGTGTGCTGGCAGATCACTGACGTGTGCACGCTTGCTGTTACGCTGCAGGTGCCGACAGAACATGCCGGATTGTCATGTATTGTGGCAATCCTGTTGGCTCTGAAGTGGGGTAGACGACGTCTGACGTCTGAGCGAGCACCAGAGCTTTTGTGGAGGCGTTAGTTGCATGCTTTGTCTGTATTTGCCTCGGGTGTGACGGCTTCCACTTCGATTTTCGTGCAGCAGGAAACGCCATGGCGCCTGTAATGTTGTCCCTTATCGTGGCCAGCACGTGGGCAGCTCATAGTTTACCACTGCCCTGCAGCAGCTACGCATGCTTGTTTGCGTTCACTGTGTTTCTTCAATGTCGACGAGTGTCCGTGGTGGCTTGTGCTTTCGCCAGAGTTTTCTGGGGCTTGCCATCTCACACACACAGATGTTCAGGCACAAGGGCGGCATCGGCAAGGATGGAGCCCTGCCCTGGAAGCTTCCAGAGGCATGAGGGACCGGCAAACCATTTTGAAGTCTTGCTAGTGATCCTCGAGTTTGGGCTTGTGAACGAGATCTACCAGAGGAGTGCCAGACACTTGAAAGAAGTAGGAAGTGAAACTGCAGCCGAATACAAAAACACAGCGAACTCAAGCTTAATTGTGCATCCTTTGATCTTCAAGCATTTGCTGTTTTAAGCTCGCATTGCTTCAATCAGCAGTTTCTTGATGCAAAAACTCAGTATGCCCGGACCAGAAGCCAAAGTGGAAGCAGGACATGGCCCATTTCAAGCGTGCTTCCATCTCAGAAGTGTTGATTCATGTGATGTTCTTCAGCTTTGTGCAAGAAGAATATGAGGTGACAACTGCTGTGTCCGTTGATGGCAAGCAGAATGCTGTCATCATGGGACGTCGCATTCTCAAATGTACTTCGCTGTAGCTTCGAGCGATTCAGCACTGGTGCAGCCCGAGTCTAGAAGGCTCTGCTGTGGCATGGTTTGGAGGCAAGACTTGGGAATCCATTCCAGAACGCTTTCGACCACTGCCTGGACGCTTGAACATTGATGGGCCCTGAGCCTGAAAAGCGCTCGGACATGGTCATTCTAGTGCATCGATCAAGGTTCTTACATCGGCCATGGAGGCGAACTATCCAGAGGTCGTCGGTTGATCGGTTTGTGCTCAAGAGCTTGGACTCGGACTGTAACTGCTTTGGCACCTGGTTTCGCAGGGTGTGCTGGTCGCCAAGTCAATTGCCGCTGCAGTGGAGATGCTGGAAGGTCCCGGCAATGATGACACAAGTCTGGGGTCTGCGTAGCCCGTCCTCCAATCTTGAAAGTTGCCTCACCTCAGATGCCAGGTCGGAGCGATGTCGGCGAGGTTTTCGTCATCGGCGGGCAAGCTGCCTATCAAGAGGCGAGCCAGAGGGCCCCACAAAATTCTCACATGTACGATATGTTGCCAGGCCATCGGGATGGATTGCTGCATCCGCCTGTACATGACCAGAGTGGCCAAGGCATCGATGCATCCCTGCGCATTGAGGCTTGTGATCAACATGCTGTCAGGACTTTGAGTGTGACGCATTCTTCCCAACGCTGGATGAAAAGCACTTCCAGTACCCTAGATTCATTAGTTTGCCCTGGAGCACTTGGGCTGGTGGTGTCAGCTCAGCCACATCTGCCTTGTCGGTTTCATCTGAGGATCGTCCATGTGAGTGCAACTCGGAGTAGTGGAGACATCCCCTACGATTTCGTCATCTATGAAAGGTTGCCCGGCAAGGACATGTCAGCATCAGTTACATTACAATATATTGCAATACAAACGAAGACACGGCAAGGGTGTCACCGGGCTTGTCAACTGGGCTCCAACATTGGTGAGCAGATGTGCTGAGTGATGTTGTTCAAGACAAGTTTGACCGTCGCCCTGCAATCCAAGCAGAGCACCCCGAGACGCCTGCACTCATTTTGCCAATCCGTAGTCAACGTGATAAAGTTAAAGTCATGAGGAGCCACACTGAACAGCGTTTGAATTTGCAGGACCGCAGTGCCGCCGGCTACCCTGCATCGGCTGCTATGGCTGCTATGGCCACGACCACGCCACTCGAGTGCCGAGCAAGGGAGGCCCAAGTGCAATCTGCTAAGGTGCAGCAGCCTTCTTCAGCCCTTGCAGCAGCGGGTGGTACACCCCTGACTTTGGCGTTGGTTTATCAGGTTGAACAAGTCAACATGAAACTGGAGTGAGGCGCCGGGAACTATGCTCACGAGGAGTACCAATACCTCAAGGTGTGGGGCAACACTTCAAGGTTTCCATGGCAAGAGATGCTCGATGTTGATCAGGCCATTCAGCAAATTATCCAAGAAGGAGTTCACATGGAGGACCGCACCGGAGTGGGCAACACGGAGTTCCTGCTAGTTTTTTCTCGGCTTCGTGTTGCTGGCAGTCCAGTTTGTGCGTCTCAGTTTGTGCTTTGACAAGGTCGGAACCCGCTCCATGTTTGGTCAGCAGATGCGGTTCAACCTGAGCAGCATCCTTAATCGCCTTGATCTAGTAGTGAGGACCGGCTTTGCAAAAGCCTTGGTTGATTGCAAGGAAGCTCTTTCCCACTGTTGACGACGAAGCGGGTGTTTTGGCGAGGGGTTGTCGAAGAGCTGCTTTGGCGTGAGCCCCAGTGCCATGCATGACACATGCTAGGAGGCCCTTCAAGTTGTAGATGTTGCCAGAAATGCCAGATGCAGCTTCAGGTTCATCAAAGGTGACACGAATGCCAATCACCTGACGGAGAAAGGTGTAAGGACCCCTCGCCTTTATGCAGCTGCCTTCCGGTCGATATCACCGCCGCAGCCACTGTCACTACCAGGATTTGGGAGGCAAACGGTTCGCGAGAGTTTTTGGACAAGCGCGGCCTGAGCCACCGTGAGGACGGTGGTTCCAGCTGTCCTGTTCAGAGAATTGATCGCTTTGTTGGTGGTATGAGGAGGGAGATCTTGGCCCAGTCTATGGCTTCCAGCATTCTCCCTCAGTTTTTGCACGGGCATGTGCAACTGCATGGTCTAATGGCCTCATAGCTTTTCTACCCACCGGCATCTCGACACAAAGGTGGCGCCATTTTGGTGCAAAGTATGTTGATATGCATTCGGATTACACTGGGCAGGTGCGATGAAGCTAGATGTTGGTCAGATAGTGCATCGCTCCTTACCATCGCAGGGGGTGGATCAACTGGCAGAGTGCATCCGGAAGATCAAAGAAGATCCGGCAGATCCAGCCTTAGATTCCTGAAAGCTTCAATAAAGCCCGCGTGGTCACTGCTTGCTTTTGGGCGTTCTGCAAGGATCGTCGCATCCTGCTTTCTGCCTGGAACCCCGCCGATCTTCATTTGATGGCACTGCCTCCGTGCCACATGAACACCTGGCGGTCTTCTCTCCAATACTCATGAGGAATGAGCCGTTTCCAGCAGTGCCAGGTTTTGCCAGTTTTATGTTGCAAACGGTGAGTTGTGATGGGCTCAGTCGGTGCTGACATCAAGGTGGCAAGAGTTTTGTCCCCTTCAAGCTGTTTAGGTCATGCTTAATGTACCAGCGCTCCTGTGACATGGGCCTGGGGGTGCAGCTCTGATGACAAGAGGGTTCTGACACGCAAGATGTCTTGAGACGATAGCAGAAGCCTCGGAATTTGGAAGGTGCCCTTCAACATCGCCTCTTATTCCTTGCTGACCTGCATGGTTGCTCAGGCACGCGCACTACATCAAGCATTTCGATCTTTGCCAAAAATTCCAATCGCCAAGGTCTGTGGCCTGAAGCCTGGCGAGTTTGCCATCGACTCAGGAACGCAGCGCAGTGTTGCAGGTGCTGTGAGTCCGGGTCTTTCAAGGTTCACACCCTCGGCAACACTCACGTGTACCAGAACCACGTAGAGCCTCTCAAGACGTGCGCTCGCAGATTCCTTGTTAGCTCTATGCAAGCAGCCTTGTACATGACTCCTTTCCTTAGCGATTTTAGCCAAGCAGGCAGCTTGAACGCACTCCTCGGCCTTTCCCTGTCCTGAAGATCAATCCCGAGGTCGGTTCAAGGACGTTTCGGTTTGACACAGTGCCCGTGCACGCTGTGCAGGTCAAAGACATCGATGGCTTTTCGTCCTCCGACTTCCAACTTGTTGGCTACAACCCACATGGTTTGGCACCGAGACATGAGTCAATGAGGGGACTTTGGGTCTGCAGCTTTGCCTTCTCGGGTCAATGGGTCACTGTTTCCATGAAGTGAGGCAAAATTGCCATGGAGATGGCCGTGTGAAGAAGCTTTGCGAGTCTGGGGCTGTGTCTCCCCACGATCCTGGGAGCACATTTGGGGCACTGTGTCAGTGAAAGGGAAAAGCTGATGGCCAGTGCAGTTTCACTGTCGTGCCCAAACATCGTTTATGTGGTGCCGGGGCAGGACATGGGGCCTGACCTCACGTAACCTGTTTCATCTCCCACCGTTCCTGTAGAAAGCTTTATTCCTCGTTGGCTGCTTTTAGCTTTCACATGGAAATGGTTCAGAATGAAGGATACGATGGTCAGGTGATCCACGCAACGACTTCAGATGCGGTGCGTGGAAAGTCGCAGTATGCTGTCGCACCATCTCAGGGGTCGTGTTTTCACGCACAGGCAAATGCAGACTGCACGTGGCGAGTGTCCACCCGCCGGTGTTTGCAGCTTTGCAGCAATGCCTGGGAATTGGGCCTGCCATGGAGGCATCAGGGTTTTCAAGCTTGGCTGATCCATCTCACGATGTCATGAGTTGCCTGCAGTTCACTGTGGTGTCGGCTGCCAACCTCCCGCCAAAGCCGGTGCTCGCCGTTCATGCTGGCGACGTGCGTAGGCAAATCAAGCTGGAGGCGGGGTGTGTATGAGTTTCTTTATACCATGCGCAAGTTGAGGAACTGCAGCAGGAGATTGACATTCTGTTGAGACACAGCTCGTGATAAGAAACTGCTCGAAGCCCCTCATAGACCTTCTACAGGCCAGCCTGCGCATGGTCGAACAGGAAGCATGAGATGATCACCCCACGATCGGTCAATGAAGTGCTTGCTAGATTGAACAAGCACTTCTGCAGCCGCCCGGCCATGCTGCAGAGATGTTCACAATGCTCGCAGCTGCATTCGGGGACGGTTGGCATGATCAAGCTTTGCGAGACTTGCTCTCTTGCTCTCTTGCTGCTTCAGCAGGGTGCAGTAGCCTTCACCCTTCTACTAGTTTGGCATGTAGGGCCTGTGTTCGGGAACGAACGGCTTAAAAGGGCAGGTATGGATGCTCTGGCATGGGGCTCTAAACGCCAGCATCTGCAGCGCAGCCTTCGTCTACTTTCCAGACTGGTTCTTCTGCAGAGGTGCGGTAGCAACAAGGAGTCATAATCGTTGACGTGCAATGTCCTTAGCCATAGCCTTAGACGCAGTGGTGACGTACGGAAAAGCTGCGAAATGCAGAGTGTAAAGTGAATCGATCCTTGTATAATTGGCTCTTGCCTGCTGGTGCCGTGAGGCCAAGGGTGGATTCCTGGATCTAAAGCCCACAGAGACGAGGAGTTGTTGCCTCCTGCTGGAAGCACCAGCTTGTGCCCAGCACAGCAGTGCTGAAATCTAACCAGGATGCACGATCGAGGTTCACGAAAACTCACACTCCTTAACCATCTCCCTTGCACCTTCGAAGGATTTCGCACTGCCATGCATTCACGAGAGATGATCCCTGCCGTCACTACTTTTTGGGCCATGGCACATCTGCGCAGGTGAACCACCCCTTCGTGCTCCCGGATGCTGGTTCGAAGCCAGCCCATGTAGAGGCCCTGCAGTGGCAGTCTTGGAAAGAACGTGTAGACATGGCTTTTTCAATTTGCTCGTGTCTTGCTGCCGGTGCCCAGCTTGGCTCAAATTGGCAGGGTATTAGCTGTGAATCAGTCATGCTTCCACCCAACAGCTCAGCAAGTGTCAGCAGCGGCAACCCTAACAAAGCAGTCTACCCAAGTGCAGTAATGCTAGTGAGCGTAAGAAGAAGATCGAAATAGCCACACGAGTACCATTTTTGTTGTTCTCCCTGTCCCTGTCGCAGCATAGTTGTGCCATCACTCAGCCAGCGCCGGGTCCACTGCTTGACGTGGTGTGTCCTGGGGCTCATTTGCACAACTTGTCGTAGAAGAATTTCTCAAGGCAGTTGAGGATATGCGAGCCGATGATTCCAAAAGCAACTTGAAGTCCCTGCCGGAGGCTAGTGGAGATTGCACAGCAGGCTCCCCGTCCATGTCTAGTGCTTCGTGAATGGCAGGCAATTCTGGAGGCTGGATCGAAGGCCTCGCATATGGCTGAAATGCTAGAACCAGAAGCTGACAGATCTTCATCAAACCATGGTTGCTTTCTGTGCGGCAGGATGGGAATGGAATCTCAGATATCTCTCCTGTCCGAAAAGGACTTGGCTCAGCTCGAGACTCGTATCATGAACGTGACAACGCTTCTTGGAATGCGCCATTCAGAAACGTTCACTGTCGGCAGGAGCGAAATCTTCGTGGTCCCAGAAGCTAGATGATTTCTTTAAGGCCCAGCAGAAGATGTCGATGGGATGGAGAACAGCTTATGTTTCGTCTCAACACGTTTCTCTCTCTTTTTTTGTTAGTCGGCTTTGCTGTTGTTTCATTGTCCGCACAAGCGGGCCAGCCGAAATGGACCGCCCTGAAGTTCGAGACGCTTTCGAACAAGTTTTCGTCCACCCTTGTCAACGAGGATCTCTAGTGCTACCATGGTTGTAATCCTCCGTGAGATCATGTCGATTGATGTCTTATGACCTCAATGACCTCTGTTTAGGTCGACAGAGTAGGCAAACATCTGTGTAAGTTGGGCTGTGGGCAGGATGTACGAACGGAATCTGGATCAGGCTATGCAGCTGGATGGTGTGACAGGTGACAGGGTCCATCAAAGCTCCAAACTGGCATGAGGCGACGAGAGTCACGAGATATGATGCCAAACGGTTTTCCATAGTTGACCAGGGAAGTGCAGAGGGGGTGCAGTGTTCCATACTTCAGGTGCTTGAAAATGCATGCACATGTGCTATCTATTATCTCACGTGCTGCAAGATGTCTCTTCAACGAAGCAGCGCAATTCTCAAACTTGCTGTCAGTCTGACAGTAGTGCTGCTCTGCAGCACCCCGGTCTCGACAGAGATTATCAACATGAGATATCTTGCCTGTGAGTCTAAAGTATTCTGATTTGGCTGCTGTGTTGTTTCAATTTAAGTGATCGTCGGTCTTTTAAATAGGGCTTGCATTCGGTTGATTCGTCACTTCTCGTCCAGTGTCCGAGCTCGTTCTGTTCCAGTTCCGGTACAGCCAAGGGCTGTTGACAAGATCGCACTATCGGCAGTGTGCTGAATGAATGCCAAGGAGCCAATAGCGAGAAGGCACCTGCTAGCCGCCTTTTCCGCTCGGTAGTGCTAGCTGCTAACACGCGACCGGAATCCAATCAACAACTGTCACCAACTGTTTCTGCATCCCCTACTCATGTCCCTTGCTCGTGCGTGATGTTGGCAGGTTACAGAAAAGGGCTCGACTTTACAGACAGAGGCGCGTGTGCCAAAAAGTTTGTTGCCGTCAAGCGAGCCGGCCTGGAACCGTGTCTGGTCAGATTCGGGCTGGCTTCATCAATTGGATGACTATGTGCCCTGATCCCGGGTCCACTGTGTGAAAGGGTCGACTTGCGAAACCCAAAATGTGGGCAGCTGTGAGGTTACATTCTTGTGGTTAATCCTGTCATCCTCGGAAGCGCAGATCCTGACAGCCATGTCTCTACGGACCGGATGGCCCTGATTCTTGAAGTCTTGCTTGACACAACCAGAGATCTATGATTGCAAGGAGACCATAATGACTGCAACAGCGGTCTCATCGGCTATCGGCTGCCTTGTAGTTGCCCTTTCTAGCCCCTGACTCAGCATGAAGTCTTCATCTACACACGGCCTACACTTGTCAGATCTTGGTGGGGATTTCTTGAGGCGACGCCCCGCTGGGACTGATGCCCGGCATGGGTCTGAACGCGTGCGCCGTGCTTCGGCGGGAGGCACATCAGCTGTTGCCTTAGCGTGCAATGTCTTCAACTTTGAGGTACTTCTCTTTTGGAATCTGCCGGTCCTTCCATGTGACTTTTGGACAGGACTGCATGGCTCAGATGCTTCAGATTCCTGGAAGATGAAAGGGGCCCAGTGTCGTCTTGGCAGGCGCTAAGCTGCTGTTTTGTCAGTGGTGCTGCGCTGCTGCCACGTGTCGACGCATTTAGTGAATGTTGGCAAGTCTGATGCAAACAGACCTTGTCGCTGCATCACGGCCGGCCATGTGTGGCCTCGTCGCACCCTGCATCCCAGGTTGTTGGCTGTTCTGGGAGTGTGCCAATGGATTGTCACCACAGCCACCGACTCATGGTTCTTCGCAGTCTTAGCATGTTTCGACAGAAGGTGCCCATGGCTTACTGAAGGTTCTGTCAGAGCACTTGAAAAAAGCAATCACTGTGGCCATCGGCGTGTTCCAGGCCCGGAAAAACCAAACACGAAGAACCTCTCTTGCGTTGGAAGTGTTGATGCGCGTGGGATGCAATCTTGCCTGGAGAAGGCCTTGATTGGCTTCCAAGTGATGGGTTTGGTTGTGGCATCGCCGAATACTTTGGTGACGTTGCTTGTCGGAATCAGATCGGAAGTACTTCTGTACTTTCCCACTTTCCCCAAATGCAAGCGAGACTTTGACAACTGAGGCTTGGTGACGTAGGATGGTTGTGTGCTAAGTTGTCAGAGCTGCATAGCTTCGTGGAGTGTTAAAGCGAGTCGAATCAGGGCAAACAAGCAGCTCTACCTGGCCCTCATGGGGCTGGGGTCCCGTCGGATACGGCTGGCTGTGCTGCGCTGCGAAGAGCCTCTCCAGAAACCACAGTTTGCCTGTAGGTTTTGCTTGATCTCGGCAATGCTGGTCAGCAGACTGCATGGGGCTCTTCTTGTAGGTGCTCTGGGCTTTCGATGTTTTGACACGTGAGCGAACGAGAGAACTGCCAGGCATTTGTCTCATGTCCGTTTGTGCATGGAGCACCGGGTGGCTGCCTCGTCAATAGTGCAGTTTTCGTATTTATAGAGCACTTCGCTGACTGCTCACTTGAGGCTCTCAGACGCACCATTAGGTGTTTTCAGCCTGCCCAGGTGGGAACATCTAAACCTGTGCATCGGCCTTACTTGTCGTGCCATCTGAGAGGTATGATGCTGGCTTTTTGCTGGACTTCTCCTGCTGGGATCCAGGCCCATTGTTTTAGCCAGGGCGGCTGGCAGTGTCGAAGCGTGAAGCAGGAAGTGGCAAGCTCCATGCCATGATCTTGGGCAGTATGGCTCAGCCCTCGCCATCGTATGCCATCGTGCCCAATGTGCGTGGCTTCATGAAAGTTTTCTTTGTCATTTGTTCGCTTCAGGTGCTGTTGTTCGTGGCTCTCTTCGACTTGGCCGGCGTCCAGTCCGCCCCTTGAAGCTCTCAGATTAGTGCTTTGCACCTCTTGTTGAAAGGTGACTCGTGGTCTTGCTCAGCTCGCAGAATTGAGGTATGGCTTGATGGGTATCGCAGGCCTACTACAAGATGGGCATGTGCCGAGGACACAGCCGAATTCTACCAGGAAGTAGAGTCACATCGAGATCTTTGGCTAGGAGCCAGTGCATTTTCTCCAGTGCTGCCATCGCCACAATGACCGGATCCAAGATTTATCGATGTGTCCTGGGTTGGTCTCTTCCTTGATCTTGAGGTCCGGAGCAGTCATTGGCACCAGTCCCGTCATTATTGCCAACGAGCTTCTCGGCTGCATCAAGAGCACAGGCGCCGGCTGTTGAGTTGAGTCGCCTTCAGCGCAATGTCACTCCGCTCTGCTCAACAAGCGTTTCTTCGCTCACATATGATGAGCTTCTGGGTGGTGAGTTTGACTTTGCAGTTTTGGTTAATGGTGCCTTGTCTGCGTCTGCGTTCCGTTATGCTCGTTTCGACGACTTATGTTTTCGCACTTCCCTGTGGTGCTGATGACATGTGCTGACGGCCCCAGTACAGTCATGCTTTCTATCACTATCTGATAGTGACTCTCACTATGCCAGCACAGGTCTAAATGGGCAGTGTTTGTAGGAAGGCCGCACCCATTTTGTGAAATTATTCCTCTGCCGTGTCATGTACAGGTTATCTATCACCCAATGACACGTTTTGTCTTAGGAGGTTCGGAAGTGGCGAAGCACCTATGAGCAGAAGTGCTGTAGACAGGCCACGTGCATTTGTTCAGGGCGAGGGTGACTGAACGCAGCTGATGCTGCAGCTCGGCATTGCTCGGCAAAAGTCGTGATTGCTGTTCTGAGTTAATGATGAGCTTTGTTGTGGTATGTGTCTGAGTCTGCACCGCGCAGACCCCGGAGCGTCCCCGGGATCTTGGGGTGTGATTGTTGAGGACATGCTGAAGCCATTAACTTCTTATGCCGGTGCCTAGGAGCAGCGCTGGCATCGTAGAGGCAAGGGAGCGCTATGGTACGAACGGAGCATTTTCGCGCTGTACAGTGTGCAGATCCGTCTGCCAGGGTGCGAAGACCGGCCTTTCCGCCCTGGTGATCTCTGGTCTTTTTCTCGTGTCTGCATCTGCCTCAGGGGACAAAGCACAACAATTCTCCAGGTATGCTGTGCTGCCCCGCCAAGGCATTTTTGACTCCTTTGTTGAGCTCCATACCTCGCGTTGCGACTTCTGTCCCTCTGGTGCGCTGGCTGCCATGTCATCCGAAGTTGTCTGATTGCCGACAGCGCAGGTTCTGATTGGGGCCTTCATGATGGCTCCATGCAGAGGCATCTGTTTGACATCCGAAGGTCGACAGGGTACTTGAAAAGCCGCAAGGTATTGATTGGGACAATCTTCGGGCAGCTATCCCTTCCTTCCTGACCATCACAGCTCCGCCCTTGAATGCCTCTGGATTCTGGATCAGAAGAGAGCCCCGGAGAGTCGACTTTACAGCTTGGGCAGGTTGTGCCCTTCACGTATTCGATCCACAATGGAATCATCGCAGGCAGCTTCTGCTCCTTCCGGCATGCGTGGACAACGCATTGCAATGCACAGCCTTGCATCTTCTGCCGCGAGGAATCTTGATGGATGCTTTCCTGATGGTCTCTGCAAAGAAGGCCCGTCTTGATGTTTGAAGTCGCTCCGCATCAGGAAATGACTGCGCATTGAAGCTCGCTAGGACCATCCTCCCGAGTTGACCGATCCACATCTGGCCCAGCCATTGCCGGAACCCGACATTTGAAAGGGTCGTTATGGAGTGCATGTAGGCTGCTCCCTGTTCTGCTGAGGATTCCTCAATCGGGCTCCAGAGTCCAGTCTCCCGTGCTCGAGAGGCCGCCCCGTGGAATTTGCGGAGCTGCTTTTTGAAGCTTTTCGGCTTGTGCCAGGGTCTTCAGCACCCCCCATGCCAGCATGGCTTTTGCGCCGGAGAAGGCCTTTCGGAGATGCTTGGTGTTTTCTGCCAGCTTAAACAGTGACAATCAGGTCAGCGATCAGGCCGGAAGCCTAAGTGGGCATCGGATCTGCACTCTTGAGCTCAGAGCACCTGACAGCAAGAGACATCTGCACGTGCCAGGTGGAGCAAGCTCAGCACCTCTTAGAGCAACTGCGGCGGACGAGGGGCTTGGGCCACTTCGCTGCATTGCGTTTGGCCGTTTCTTACATGGAGATCACATCCCAGCCTGCAAGTCGCCGAAGAGCCTAGGTCACGAGCCAGACCAGGCGGCTACCGTGCGCTTTTTGCGAAGTTCGTTGAAATGATTGAGGTAAAAAATTAAGTCTTTCAAGCCGCTGACGAGGGGAATTGCTCGGAGTGCTTTGAATTGCCGCCAGGGCGGCGGTATCGAAAGCGGAGAGGATCGTCTGCTCTCGGCTTTGGAGGCGATGCTGAAAATGTAGCGGTTCATGCGAAGAGCCATGATTCGAGTGTCTTTCAGGCGTACGTGCAGAACCATACTATGGTTGCGACCGGTCTTCATTTGTGAGTGCTCCAGCTCTCACTTCTTTCTGTCGGCTCTTGCGGATATTTATCCAATATGCTGTCAAGCTGAAGCCCACAGATCGTATAGAGACCTCACCATTTTGAATACAAGTTTTGCTTCAGCTTGCCGGCGTTTGATTGTGGGTTTCACGCTCTCTACGAGACTTGCGTGACCCTAAAAGGGATCAGTGCATGCTCTTCAGGCCTTGTGAGATGTTTGTCCAGCAAAGTTGGTGCGGCCTTCTGCCATGACGTGAGAGATTGTATAGCGATGCAGGAGATGTCGACAGGGGAAATGGTGGCAACAAAAGATGCAGTCAAGGCTGAGAATTTGACGCCAACTGGCTGAGGACAGTGCGGCACTTCGTCCAGTGTGGGCTTCTTTCGACCGTGCTGTCAGTGTGTGAGCAAGACACTTCATATTTCTGGGCCTACACCCAGCCCAAGTGTCAGTCCATGACAGCAGTGGTTCAGCCGCATGATCCGAAAGGTTCTTGGGAGGCAAAGCCCTCCGCTCTCGTGTCGCCATTTGCAGCCTAGGAGCCGTGGAGGGCTTGCCACAATTTAAATCTCTTGATTCGACTAGTCCGCCGAATGCCTGAAAAAGGAGCTTGGGTTCTGGGATGTTCTGAGATTCGCCAAGCAGGAGATAAAATGCCAGCTGCCAGCCCCTGACCCCTGCAGGTTTCTATTTACCAGCAGCTTGCAAGTCAGCTGCTGCCAGAGGATGGCCATTCTGAGGCCTGTGTGGCTGTTTTAAAGAGCAGGTCCCATTCTAGAAGGAGGTGGTTGCAGTTGCAGTCGTTTTCAAGTATTATTGAGCGTCATGAGTTCAAAGCCAGAGCCATCGAGAGGTTGCACGGACGCACTACTGGAATCGGCAGAAGATTGTCGGAATTGAACGGTTTGATGTTTCTACCAGTGGCGGGTCGAGCGCTCTTCAGCCCGCTGGCCAGACAGCGTGTACGATTCCCGTTCGAAGACCGGACGGGACTCCGACTCATGCCAGACTCCAAGTTGGGACTTTCTCTAAGATGAGCACATGCATTGATGCTTTGCGAGTATCGGAGGTCAAGCTTCAGGTACAAAGAGAAGAATGGCACAAGGCTCGCTCATGCACCGTTGGCCAGGAGAGCATGCTAAATGGCAAATGTGGTGAGTCAGTTGCGTGCTTTGTGACTGCATGTACGGGCGATTCCCTGTCGAATTTTGTTCAGACCAGTTTGCGAAGTTGGTCGTCTGGATGTCGAGCACAGGCCAAAGCCAAAGATTCGCAGTGCATGCCTCAAGATTCTAGGCATTCGAGACTGTCGGCCCGTCTGGTTACCTGAGTTCCTGCTGCATGAAGCCGCAAGGTGCGTCCAGGACTATCCTTCGAACATTGACGATGGCATGTGTGTAGTGCACCTGCGAGCATGGGGGGGGGGGTGTCACATGTCATGCAAAGCTTGATTTCTTCATTCGACATTTGGTGTTTGTGGACCTTTCGGGTAAAGGACTATCTGGAGACGCACAAGGTGCAGCAGCGCATTCAGAATCTCATACAGGATCGGACTTGGGTGTACTTGAGTCGCTTCGTCGCGATGGCAAAGATGCTTCAAATGCTTTGCTTGCAGTCTGCCTTGTGTGCAGCTACAGTGCAGTAGCTCATTTTCCGACCGCAGAAGTACTTGCTTGGCAGGATGTGTTGCGAGAAGCTCCAGATGATCCATATCAGTGCCCTACAGTGAGGGGTTCCGTTCGTTCCGTTCACGACTTGTCCCGTCGCTTCAGAGACCGTGATCCCGCCGGTGATGCTGTCGTAGACTGCACGCTTGTGGTGACGTTGGCCATGCGGCATGCAGGTTCATGCTGCAACAGCTCCGGGAATCCCAGGCTTGGGAAGAATTTTGAGAAGTGATTGCATGAAACGAAGAAATAACATCAGAAACCGATCATGAGTACTGGCATGCCCGGCCCGGAGCAGTGACTATGTGTTTTGGCGAGGCATCGACATCAAGGCCTAGCTTCAGGTCCAAGGACAGAATTTCCCGCATCTTGCAGGGCTTGAAGCGGATCCCCTCGTTGAAATGGAGGAGCCCTTGGTGCCACACCCTCCTGACAAGCCAAAACCGCCAGGACCGGACCTACCACGGTAGCTTAAATCCATAAATAAGCATCCGTCAGTCCGTCAGTGAACATGTCCGATTACTCGGGGGCTAATGGTCAGCCTGGAAGGCGGACCTGGTCTGTGAGCTTCAGCTTCTCATGCACATCCATACAACTGGCAATACGATCTGCCAGTTTGGATGTTTGAGTCAACAGCTTTCTAAACTGCTTGTGTCAATGTGTGTGTGTGTGTGCGTGTGTGTGTGTATGTAGGCATATTATGCGGGCCTTTAAGCACAAAGTCGTCATTCGTCAAATATCGAAGGCTCACAGCCGCCATATCCGGCACTGATATTCTGTGAAGTGATGGGAAGTCCCAGAAGCATTAGCGAAACTTTCTGCTACTGACCCCGCCGCAATCCTTCGGAAGTTTTGATCGTGGTGCGAAAACCCAATGTCTGGGTCGTGAGTCGAATAATCCAAGCTCCAAGGCATTTAAGAGCCTCCGGCTCAAGCCGCCGACCCCGCAGGAGTGATTGTCCGACCCCCACCCCCTAACACATACTACTGCATTAGGGTCCCCTGTTCAGAAACCTCCATATAAAGCCTGAAGCCATGCACCTGCTGCCTCTGCTGCCTCGCTTCTTCCAAGCTCCCACAAGCCCCTTCAAGACCCCGCACCACGAAACTAACCCTAAACCCTAAACCCTAAACCGCCTATGGGTAAGTCCTAAATCCAAAACAAACCCCTGAACCCTGAACCCCGAAGCACCCTTGACCCAGTAAGCGCCGGGGTCGCACGATGTTTCATACCCATTTACCCATACTCGTAACCAGGAATACGCCATAAAGCCCATAGTTTAGGGCCGGGGGGGGGAGGGGGGGGGAGGAGGGAGGGGGGGGCAAGCCTAGTCACCCTGAACCCCGAAGCAGCCTTGACCCAGTAAGTGCTGGGGTCGCACGATGAGCCCTTGACCCAGTAAGCGCCGGGGTC